TTGCGCGAACTCTCCAAAGTGTTGTTGTAGCCGTGTCGGATCCTCCAAAAATACACTAATTTTAAAGGATCCGACACGTACCCAGCAACATCTTTGGAGAGTCGGAGCAACATAACTTACTGTTAATGAGCTCTCTGGAACTCTACCTTCTAACATCGGTCATAACTTTCCAAATCTTGATGGCCTTTATCTTGGATTAAACCAGTTTAGTGGGAAAATTCCTTGCTTCATTTCCAATATCTCCAAGCTCATTTATGATTTACCTTGATCTTGGCCGCAAATCGCAATCTTGGAAACTTACAGCAGCTTCAAGTGATTAACTTGCAAGATAATCAATTGACAAATGATCCTTCTACAGGGGAATTAATTAGATTTCCTTTCTTCGTTGTCGACCTGCAAGCACATAAAGCGTATACAAACAGCATATAATGCATTTGGTGGAAATTTTACAAAGTCCTTAGCTTTCAGCATATATTGACAGGTTCATCGCATTTGGAAATGGCATCAGAGGTGAAATCCCTATTGAAATCAGTAAGTTGAGTAACTTGTTGTGGTTAAGCCTTCGAGGGAACGAATTGATTGGTTCAATTCCTCAAGAAATGGGAAACATGAGAAAATTGCAAACGTTGGGATTTTCTTCAAATAAAATTAATGGAACCATACCCGAAAGCTTATGCAATACGGAGGTCTTATATAGTAAAATTGAATTGAGTGAAAATCAGCTTTCTGGGGAAATACCAAGTTGTTTAGGGAATCTTTCTTCTTTAAGAGAAGTTTATTTACATTCAAATGCATTGAGTTCCAATATTCCACCAACTTTTTGGAGTAATAGAGGTAGTATACCAGGTCTAAGTTTGACCTCCAATTTTGTTAATGGTTCTTTGCCTTTAGGAATAGGAAGTTTAAGAAGTCGAAGCAATTTTAATTTATCAAGAAATCAATTCTCAGGACAAATTCCGAGCTCAATAGGACAGCTACAGAATTTGGTCAATCTTTCATTGTCAATGAATATATCTGAAGTTCGTGTACCTGAATCATTTGCAGACTTGGTTACTCTTGAAAACTTGGATATATCCGGAAATAACCTTCCGGAATGATCCCATTGGTAAGTTTCCAAATGGAGGACCTTTCGCAAATTTGACAGCTAAATCTTTAACTTTTGTTCCTATATCAGTTTCACTAGCATTAATAGGTATAACCATTTTCGTTTTGGTTGCTGAAGTACCGAGAGAGAAGTATACTTACGGTGGTCTTTGCCTTGTGTTTCAAAGTACACTAAAGGAGTTTAGCTTAGTTCTTGAACAAGGTTCCGAGAGTAGCTGAACTGCTGATTTGATTCTTATACTTAGTAGTATACCACTATGACCTTCAAAGCAGTAGATATATACTTAACAACAATAGATTTGCAAAGGTTAGACTTATAGCTGTAACATGGTCAGTGACGGAGTCAAAATTTTTGTTAAGGATATCAAAATATATAAAAGTAAGCATACCAGGAAATTAAGGGGATTCAATACATAATAAATATACATATATTAATTTTTTACCTACTTACACAGTTTATTTTTCGGCAAAGGGTATCATTTGACACCTCTTCCTATAAGGTGGCTCTGCCAGAGCCACTAGCCACCGAACATGACAAACTGCATTCTTCAGTTCTCTGGTTATTGCTATAAGGTGGCTCTGCCAGAGCCACTAGCCACCGAACATGACAAACTGCATTNAATTGCACTCAAGATATCTACATAATCGTATTCTATATATTTATCTCCCATTATTTTATATTAAATGAGGTACTTTACTTTTTAGTATATTTCAAAATAAATAACACATTTTTAAATTTGAAAATAATTCAATTTTAAACTCTTACATTTTATTCTTTTATCCTTAATGAAAAACTTTTATAGCCACACAAATGTCATGACCCCATAAACCTTTAAAATCACAAATTTCAAAAATATTTTTTTTTAAACTTCGTGCGTAGTCAAACTAATTCACAACGGATAGCAATCACAGACTGAAAAGTAGCATTTCACTTGCATTAAACACAAGATATAGCATACTGACACATTTTTCCATTCATCATACTTATAAAACATAGTAGTAGATAACCTAAAGACAGAAAAGCAAAAGATCGCCGCTCCTAGATCAAACATCAAAACAGAGAACTTCCATTCCAAAGTCCAGAAAACAGAGTAACTAATAACTACTGCTATATCTCATCCAATTTTAACCTCGATAGTTTTGGGTTTCTTAGGCTCAGGTGGCGGCAACTTCTGGACAGTCACAGTCAAAACCCCATCTTGACAAACAGCAGAAATCGCATCAGTATTTGCATTCTCCGGCAGTGTAAATTTCCTCATGAATTTTCCAATCCTTCTCTCCATTCTAATATACTTAGCCCCTTCTTTATCTTCTTCTATCTTCCTTTCTCCACTGATCAGCAGCACGTTGTCATCTTCCACCTGCAAATATCTCCGGATTTCAACCCTGGCATGTCCACAACGAAAACATAGGAATTAGGGTATTCCTT